CCGATGATTGATCGGTGCGAGCATCATCAGTGTTCAGGGATTGTGTTTTGAGGTTATTTGAGGAGCGTTATCTGGTCGATTTGGTTCCCATACCGTTGTGGGGGAACAAGCTGATTATAGGTATGGATTGGTTGAGCCCTAATGGGGCGGTGATAGATTGTGCACAGCAGCTAGTGCGGGTAAGGACCCCAAGTGGGGGAGAGTTGGTGATCCACGGCGAGAGGCCACAACATGGACCTATAGTATGTTCAGTAGCGAGAGCTAGGCGCTACCTTCAGCAGGGATGCGCAGGGTATGTCGCGTACGTTATGGATACCCAGGAGTCGGGTAAGGCGAAAGTGAGCGAGGTTCCAGTGGTGCGAGACTACGCTGATGTGTTCCCGGAGGAGCTTCTTGGAATACCTCCGGAGCGTCAGGTAGAGTTCAGGATCAACCTAGTTCCTGGTGCGGCTCCGATAGCCAAGGCACCCTATTGGTTGGCTCCTCCCGAGATGCAGGAGTTGTCTACGCAGCTGCAGGAGCTGCTAGACAAGGGATTTATTCGTCCGAGCAGTTCACCCTGGGGAGCCCCGATCCTGTTTGTGAAGAAGAAGGATGGGTCGCACCGGATGTGTATAGATTACCGGGAGCTGAATAAGGTGACAGTGAAGAACCGTTACCCACTCCCGAGGATTGATGACCTCTTTGATCAGTTACAGGGAGCACCTTGGTTCTCCAAGATCGATTTGCGTTCAAGCTATCATCAGATGAGGGTTAGAGAGGAGGATATACAGAAGACCGCGTTTCGGACACTTTATGGCCATTATGAGTTCGTGGTGATGCCATTTGGGCTCACCAATGCTCCTGCCGCATTCATGGACCTCATGAACCGTGTGTGTAGACCGATGTTGGATCGATCTGTGATAGTTTTGATTGATGACATATTGGTTTATTCCAAGACTCAGAAGGAGCATGATGAGCATCTAAGGAAGGTTTTGGAGACCCTGAGGAGGGAGAGCTTGTATGCCAATTTCTCCAAATGTGAGTTTTGGTTGCGCGAGGTGCAGTTTCTTGGGCACCTCGTCAACCAGAATAGGATTTCAGTAGACCCGGCTGATGTGCACGAAAGTACCCATTAATTTTAATATTTATAACCTAACAAACTTAGACTAACTATGCACTTATAGGCAGTGTACCTAGTCAGATTACAGTATAGCTTAGGTAAGTCGGGTGTCGATCACAGGGAACGGTGGATTAATTTAATATATTTGATTATAGGTTACAGGTCACACGAAAAGAATAAAAGAAATAGTTTAATAAATCTCAAACTAATAATTAATTAACCATTCTCGATAAACTAACAGGACAACAAATCTCTTCAGGTACTTTGGTTTAGATAAATTCCACCTTAAAAACATAGACAATTGCACACACAAATTCATTTATTCATGTTCACCGATTCCTAAAATGATTAGATTCGCGTTCACTATAACTAATCCTTTAGCAAATAAGTTAATTCAAACAGTGATCAGTTGATTAAACTAACATGCTTCCTAGTGTTCAGTTCGTATCAAGCAAGACTTGCAAATATAGTTAATCAAATTAGACATTCAATTAACCTCTTGTTGATGGTCATCAAACAAGGCTCACACATTAACTTACTTATTCTCAAGTTAATCCTAGTTTCACATTCGTTATTCCTAGACTTATAATCTCGATGGTCATCAAAATCATAAGAGACAAGCAATCAAGCAGATGTTCATACAACTCAATTCACTTAACAATTAACAGCAAATAATTATCATTAATACGTAAGGAGCTTTTAACAAGCTTAGCAAGATAAATTAAACACAAACAAACTATTCAATATAGCAATTAGTCTAATAATCAAAGCTTCATTCAATCATAAACACAAAGTAAAAGGTTTTTACACCCAAGTCAGAAACTAAATACAGAATAGTAACACAATGGAATGCTAAACATGGTCACGTTAACAGCCCATAGGATTATCGACACGTATCCGCCCTCCAACCCTTCCGATCTCCGCTCCCGTTAGCTTAACGGCCTTCCGGCTGCCTTCTAGACCCTCAAAACGGCTTAACAGAAGTTAATTGTCGACTAAATTAGGTTAGAAGTTGAATGCCCCTTCCTGGTTAGCTGAAAATCGACTTTCATAATCTTTGTAGCCGACCTAAGTACGCTGGGCGTACTTAGGATTACGCGGGGCGTACTTAGGATTACTACCCGATTTGAAGTTATCTGAAACCAACCGGTACGCAGCGCGTACCCTTTAATTACGCGGGGCGTACGTCGCTTTTGGGCTCTACGCTGGGCGTACTGCGACTTGACGCAGGGCGTAATCCACTTCTTCAGCATATTTAATTTCTTTTAGCTCCTAAGTCCGGTTTCCGCTTTAGTCTTTTCTTTTGTGCTTTATTGACAACGAATAGCTGCAAAACATAATTCAAAGTATTATGAGTACTTTTTAGTTCTAAAATAGAATAAATAAGGCCAAAATATTAAGATAAAGTGCATAAAAATATATATAAAAATACACATATCAAAATACCCCACACTTAGCCTTTGCTTGCCCCTAAGCAAATTTACTTTTATTTTACTAATATTGCACTAAACAATCCATTTAAAACTCAGCCATTACGCCAAGACCTCAACGCATGCATTTGTGTCTAAAATTTTCCTAAAGTACCCCCCCATACTTTAAATACTCACAATCTTCATAAACACTTGCCCAATTTTTCCGAACAATGCTCATTTTATGCAACCCTCCGAATCCATCCGCAGAAAACCTCCTAACCTCAAGGTATTTTTAGTTGAGCAACCTAAGCATACATAATCTAGAATTACAATTTATGATACCACTATGGAGCTTTTCAGGAATTCTTCACTTTCTTGACAATTTGATCTTTGATTTCTTCGAATTCACCACCTTATTTGATTTGATTTCTTGGTATCTTCAACTTTTTTGAATTTCTTGGAATTTTGATCTTTTGATCTTCACTTTATTTGCTCCAAAATTCTTCAAACTTTTTCGTAATTCTCTCTTCTTTTTTTATTTTATTTTTTTACATGTACCTCTATTTTTTTCACTCAAAACCTACATGCTTAAGAAGAAGCGCTCAACCTCAACCTTTATTGGTTAATGATAATAATTTTCCTAGATACATTTCAGGTTTAGGCTGCTAAACATATTGCATCCTTCAAACCGAGCGGGGTTATGTTTTTGTTCTATGATTTCACTAAAATAAGGGAAGCCACAAATGCACTATAACGTATATTGGCTCAACTAAACATTTGAGTTCTCATCGGATCATCTCATACAATATTAGCAAAATTTTAAATTATCACTATATTTTTCTAAATTAAACTATTATTTCAAGTTTTCTTTTAAATTTTTAAATTTCCCTAAATCTAGCAATTTCCAACTATTATTTCATTTTTATAATTTACTTTTACTGACCCCCTACCCCACACTTATTTCATACAATGCCCTCATTGTATGCTAAAACAAATTAAGAACATAAAAAGGGAGAAAAAGGAGCAGACTCCCCTGGGTAGTTGTGGCGAGATCGAATGGGGCTGCTACAGGTTGCTTCAAATATTGCTGAAAAACTGAAAACTGGAACTGCTGCTTCTGAATGTGCCGGAAAATAAAATCAAGACCGCCATCTTCAAAAAATGTGGTGCAAAAGATCGCAAACAAATGCAATGTATAAAAAACCATGACGTGGAAAAGTGTCGACCACGTCGTCTCGTCAAAAATGACATCCTCTTCTCGCGATGAAAAATCCCCCACAACATAGGAAAGTGTCAACCATGTCGTGGCAGTCGGGATGATACTTCTTCCTCGCATCGAAATACAACTCTAATAAATATGCACCCCACACTTTTCACTGTTGCTGTAACCATAACCATCGGAATCGGGCTTGTGAAGGAGAGGCAATAGCAGCCTGACATGGCATTTCCACGATTAAATAATATTTCATTCTGGTTGTTGCCACCAAGTCTCTTGCTCCTATTAAGCCCAGATTATGACAAATTGTGGGTCTTGACTATAATCTTCGAACTCTCACACGACTCTCTCTAGCAACAGTCGGACCTAGCTGCTGAACTTGCTGCCAGCTTTCTAAAGGCAAAAATTTTGCAGAGATCTAAACAACCAAAGAGCATCAACATGGAAAACAAAAGTAAAAACAAACTAAATTAAAGATCTATTACACACCAAATAAAAATACTTAACTAAACTAAAAATAACACAAAATAAAAATAAAAATAAAAAGGATAACTAAATCACTCATCATCTCCATCATCCTGCTGATACGTCCCAGAAGTACCGACCCCATCATATCGTGACTGAAATGGCGATGGGTAGGGAACCGAATACTGAAAACCCTGGTTGGCAAAGAATGCGTTCAACGCATTCCCTTGCCACCGCTGTTGCGTGTCCACATGTGCAACATAGTCACTAAGGTTCTGGACCCTCATGTCAAGACGATCAATGCCCTGAGCTAGGTAACGCATATCGATCTCCGGCTCAGGTACCTACTGCGCTCCCCGAGGAGAAGGTCTACGCCGCAGGACCCATCTCGGCTGTGGCTCGGCGGCACCCTCCTCATCTGCCACATCATCTGCTCGTACTCTCAAGACACCATCTCCACCCTCTCCAATACACGCATCGACTCTAACAGCTGAAGACTCATCGGCCTCATGTCGTGGAACACCATCGATCTCGTGACCTCACGCGTCAGCAACTGATATGAGCGGGCTAAACACGTGATAAAATGCCCTCCGCATATCGGGCTGTCCCCCCTAAGTCCCCTGGCCCTCCGTCCCAAATATACAGCTAAAGCAACCGGAAGGTTCAGGTGCCTCCCGGGAGTAACTAGCACCCATAGGAAATAAGGGTCTGTCGAAGGCCCTCTCTCACTGTTCTTGTGATGCGTGAGAGAAATAGAAATCAACCGGTGCAACATTCGGTAGGTAGTAGACCGAATCATCTCCCCTCACGCGGTAGATGGTGTATAAACCGCCCCTGTAATCTCGGCCCAAAAAGTGTTCTTGTTATAGTCATCTGGCCGCTCCGTAAGACAATCAACAAGGAATAACAGGAAGTGGACACTCCTCGTCTCATCAGCTGTGTAAATACCCACCTGAGTCGCAAGCTCCATCACGTTGCATTCGCAGCTCACTCCACCTAGTCTGAAGGCAAAAGCTGTCCTGGCATCGAGTGCCTTCCTATGATCATAGGAAATTGTAGCGTAGAACTCCAGCAAAAACTCCTGATAAACCGGCTCCTGGATCCGGAACAAACGTGCCCATCCCTAGCACACAAACAAGTCCACACCACTCGCATCCCAGTGCGTGTATTGCAAAAATCCCTGGATCAATGCAGCTAGTCCAGTCCTGGTAGCCAATTCCCAATCGAATGATGGTGCTATATCAATTTCTTTGGTGAGAAGCAAGCTCAAGTTTGTGACATAACGCGCCCGGGTAGCATTGTTCAGCGTTTGCGGAAATTGTAAAAAACGATGGTCAGTCACATCCTCGGGTGGGTTGGCCCTTTGCGTCCTTCGAACCATAATCTGCACAAATAAACAAAAACTCAAAACCAAACAAAATATGGTAACATTAATAAACTTTAAACCAAAGAAATTGAATCTAGATGGGGACAGTACGCTGGGCGTACATCCAGCGTATGCTGGGCGTACATCCAGCGTATGCTGGGCGTACGTCCAGGTTCACGAAACTGTGTCCCGGTTCCTTTACTTGTGCCAAAATCATATCCCAACTCAAAATAAACACAGCCGGGCAGCAGGTTGTTAATATTTCGTGGTCCAAATGCAGTAGGAACAAAAAAACGTGACCACCCTTAAAAATCAATCCCCATTATCTCGTAACTAGTGATAATCAAGTGTAGCAGTCAAGAACCCGAAATCAGTCAAGAACTCGAAGTAAAAAGGGGTACACTTGGCGTACGTCCCCGAGGTCAAATCGATGGTATGGGACGGGATTAAGACGTAATTAGGTCTGAGGATTTAGTGTATTAACCGAAATTGGTCCATTCAAGCCCTAATCAACACTTACATTTGCGAAATCGGCCCTAATTCAAGAACCCCATAAACCCTAGATTTCGAACAAAGGCTAAATGCAACTTATTCCTTCGATTGAAACACAAATACATGACATTGAGTAACCGAAAATCTTACTTGTGTGTTGAATTTGACAAGAAAAGAAGCAAAATCATAGATCTTGGAATGAAATCGCCGTCACAGTTCGTGTTTGAGAGAAGAGTTGTGAAAAGAATAAAGAAGAAGTCAAAGGTTCAAAAGATATACCTGGTCGCCGTGTTACGCGGGGCGTAACTCAAAGTTACGTGGGGCGTAACCCTATCCCCTTGAAATTCCGTACGCGATCAGATGTTGAATTACGTTGGGCGTAATATAAATTACGCAGGGCGTAAGTGTAAATGACAATTTCTTTCTTTCTTTAATTTAACTACCTTTTCTTTTAATTATTTAATTAAGGGACTTAAACTTTAATTATTATTTTTTTTTCTTTTTAATTTCTTCAGCTAATGATGACTTCACAATGAGTGAAAAAAAATATGAGACGTCATAATCACTTATCTTTGTCGAGATCAAACGACAACGGTTGATCAAAAACCTTTGCATGCAAGAATTGGTTTACGAAAATACCCACTTTCAGGACCTGTTAGAATATTTCCTTTGTTTTCCTTGCACCTTTAACTAAAAGCGGAACAAGAAGTGACCTAACTAGTCAAGAACAGCAAGAGCTCGGTCTTCCACTTAAGCACCACAATACGCCTTGCTATACTACGCCTCATGGATTGAGTTGGACAAATCGAAAAAGTAGTAGGCTAAGCAGGTCAAGAATTCCCTAATCGCTTTCATTCTCGAAACCCATGCAAAAAGTAACGTCAAACAATGTGTACAATCCCAAATTCCTGCAAATAAAAACAAGAACCTTCCCGACAAGTGAAATGATATCATCGAAAATCAACTAAAAATAAAAACTAACTAAAACTAATAACGAATAACAAATAAACTAAATTAATGACAAGCCGTTCCCCGGCAACGGCGCCAAAAACTTGATGTGCACGAAAGTACCCATTAATTTTAATATTTATAACCTAACAAACTTAGACTAACTATGCACTTATAGGCAGTGTACCTAGTCAGATTACAGTATAGCTTAGGTAAGTCGGGTGTCGATCACAGGGAACGGTGGATTAATTTAATATATTTGATTATAGGTTACAGGTCACACGAAAAGAATAAAAGAAATAGTTTAATAAATCTCAAACTAATAATTAATTAACCATTCTCGATAAACTAACAGGACAACAAATCTCTTCAGGTACTTTGGTTTAGACAAATTCCACCTTAAAAACATAGACAATTACACACACAAATTCATTTATTCATGTTCACCGATTCCTAAAATGATTAGATTCGCGTTCACTATAACTAATCCTTTAGCAAATAAGTTAATTCAAACAGTGATCAGTTGATTAAACTAACATGCTTCCTAGTGTTCAGTTCGTATCAAGCAAGACTTGCAAATATAGTTAATCAAATTAGACATTCAATTAACCTCTTGTTGATGGTCATCAAACAAGGCTCACACATTAATTTACTTATTCTCAAGTTAATCCTAGTTTCACATTCGTTATTCCTAGACTTATAATCTCGATGGTCATCAAAATCATAAGAGACAAGCAATCAAGCAGATGTTCATACAACTCAATTCACTTAACAATTAACAACAAATAATTATCATTAATACGTATGGATCTTTTAACAAGCTTGGCAAGATAAATTAAACACAAACAAACTATTCAATATAGCAATTAGTCTAATAATCAAAGATTCATTCAATCATAAACACAAAGTAAAAGGTTTTTACACCCAAGTTAGAAACTAAATACAGAATAGTAACACAATGGAATGCTAAACATGGTCACGTTAACAGCCCATAGGATTACCGACACGTATCCGCCCTCCAACCCTTCCGATCTCCGCTCCCGTTAGCTTAACGGCCTTCCGGCCGCCTTCTAGACCCTCAAAACGGCTTAACAGAAGTTAATTGTCGACTAAATTAGGTTAGAAGTCGAATCCCCCTTCCTGGTTAGCTGAAAATCGACTTTATAATCTTTGTAGCCGACCTAAGTACGCTGGGCATACTTAGGATTACGCGGGGCGTACTTAGGATTACTACCCGATTTGAAGTTATCTGAAACCAACCGGTACGCAGCGCGTACCCTTTAATTACGCGGGGCGTACGTCGCTTTTGGGCTCTACACTGGGCGTACTGCGACTTTACGCGGGGCATAATCCACTTCTTCAACATATTTAATTTCTTTTAGCTCCTAAGTCCGGTTTCCGCTTCAGTCTTTTCTTTTGTGCTTTATTGACAACGAATAGCTGCAAAACATAATTCAAAGTATTATGAGTACTTTTTAGTTCTAAAATAGAATAAATAAGGCCAAAATATTAAGATAAAGTGCATAAAAATATATATAAAAATACACATCTCAAAATACCCCACACTTAGCCTTTGCTTGCCCCCAAGGTGGAGGCCTTGATGAGATGGGAGGTTCCGAAGTCTCCATCCGAGATTCGGAGTTTCCTAGGATTAGCAGGCTACTATCGTAGATTCATTCAGTATTTCTCCAAGATAGTCGTGCCCCTGACACGGCTGACGAAGAAAGCCGTTGTCTTTCGGTGGGGACCCGAGCAGCAGGCCGCGTTTGAGACACTGAGACAGAGATTGTGCGAGGCGCCAATCTTAGCCCTGCCCGAGGGCGTAGAGGATTTTGTGGTATATTGTGATGCGTCGATCTCAGGCCTGGGCGCAGTATTGATGCAGAGGGGGCATGTCATTGCTTATGCCTCGATGCAGCTAAAGCCTTATGAGGAGAACTACCCGACGCATGATTTGGAGTTGGGGGCAGTTGTTTTCGCCCTCAAGATTTGGCGGCATTACCTCTATGGAGTCCGGTGTACCATCTACACGGACCACAAGAGTTTGAGGTACCTCATGGATCAGTCGAATTTGAACATGAGGCAGCGTCGGTGGTTGGACGTGGTTAAGGATTATGATTGTGAGATACTTTACCACCCGGGGAAGGCCAATGTGGTGGCCGATGCGCTTAGTCGCAAGGCATCGCCGATCAGGGATGTTTGCATGAGGATGACTGTGGTGACTCCTCTGTTGGAGCAGATTCGGGAGGCTCAGCAGGAGGATATCAAGGAGGATCATCGGAAGAGCGAGCGTGTGGTGGGTCAGGTTTCCTCCTTCGATTATGATAGCCGAGGGCTATTGACACTACACCAAAGAGTGTGGGTGCCGTATCATGGAGGCGTGGGCCAGATCTTGATGGAGGAGGCGCATAAATCCCGATTCTCTATTCATCCAGGGGCGACGAAGATGTATAGGGACCTTCATCTAGATTATTGGTGGCCCTGCATGAAGCGGGATGTGGCTTCATACGTCGAGCGGTGCTTGACCTGCAGGAAGGTCAAGGCCATCAGAGACCGCATGGAAAGGTGCAGCCATTGGACATCTTGTTGTGGAAATGGGAAGATATCACGATGGATTTTATCATGAAGCTTCCCAGGACTGCGCGTGGGGTAGATTCGATGTGGGTCATCGTGGATCGATTGACCAAGAGTGCTCATTTTATTCTGATTCAGGAGATCATTTCGGCCGAGAAATTGGCCGACATCTATATTAGGGAGATTGTGGCACGGCACAGGGTACCAGTATCCGTTATCTCGGACAGGGATGTGCGTTTTACTTCCAGGTTTTGGAAGAGGTTTCATGACGAGTTGGGTATTCGTTTGCATTTTAGCACCGCCTTTCACCCGCAGACAGATGGGCAGAGCGAGCGGACCATCCAGACTCTGGAGGATATGTTGCGGGCGTGCGTGCTAGACTTCAGTGGTAGCTGGTATACTTATCTTCCCTTGGCTGAGTTCTCGTACAACAACTACCACGCGAGTATCGACCACCCTCCATTCGAGATGTTGTACCAACGAAGGTGCAGGACCCCGATATGCTGGGGAGAGGTTGGACAGAGAGTTATGGGGAGCACCGAAGTGGTGCTCAAGACTACCGAGAGGATTCAGCAGGTTCGGAGCAGGCTGCAGACTGTGCAGAGTCGGAAGAAAAGCTACGCCGACAAGCGTCGATCAGACCTGGAGTTCCAGGTCGGGGATATGGTTCTCCTGAAGTTGTCGCCTTGGAAAGGCGTCATTCGATTCACGAAGCGGGGCAAGTTGGGCCCGAGATTCATTGGCCCATTCAGGGTTGTAGCCCGGGTGGGCAAGGTGGCATATAGGCTGGATTTGCCAGCCACGCTCAGCCAGATTCACAGCACCTTCCATGCCTCCTAGCTGCGGAAGTGTCTCGTGGATGATTTAGCGCTGTTACCATTAGAGGATATACAGGTTGATGACAGCCTGAATTACATTGAGCGCCCAGTCGCAATCCTCGACCCGAAGTCGAAGGATCTGAGGAACAAGAGGGTGGAGTTAGTGAAGGTGCAGTGGTAGCA